GATGCAGCCCCCACTGGGTGACTCACAGGAGCTGATGAACAAATGCCTCTGTTCTCTCACCCCCCTGGTTGGAATAATGAGACTGTTCCACAGATTCTCAGGATGGAGCTCTGGTTGTTCACGGCGGTGAACTTGCTTAATGACGCCTGTTATGGGCTGTCAAGGTCAGCAGTTGAAGTCAACGGGCTGCTCGGCAGGGGGAGGATGGGACTGCTCTAACAGATTTCCAGTTTCTTGGGTGTGAGGAGCTGGCATTGGGCTGTGTGGATCATTGCAAATTCCGGATAGCAATGAGAAGAATGGGAACATTCCAGAACACTTCATTGTGCTCATGGGGAACCTGTCACGGAGCAAGAGGCAGCTGCACACACAGAACAAGGGACTGCTGCGTGGTTTACTATCAGGAAAGCGGTGTGTCAGAGCTCTCTGTTCATCATACTAGTACAGTCCACAGGCTGAGAAGGTGAACTCTATTACGAAGAACTTGGCATCAGGATCGGAGGAAGGCTTACTGACAACTCTCCATATGCAGAAGACACAACCTTGCCTGCTGAACGCGAGGAGGACTGGAAGCACGAGCTGATGAAGATCACAGATGTCAGCCTTCGGGCTTGGTGAATTTAACGTAAAGAAAACAAACATTCTCACAACTGGACCCGGCAGGTCGCATCCATGATCAATGGAGAAAAGGTTGAAGTGGTCAAGGATTTTGTCTTGCTTGGATCCACAATCAATGCTTCTGGAAGGAGCTGTCAAGAGATCCAATGATGCGTGGCCTCGGGCAAATCTGCTGCCCGAGATGTCTGTAGAGTGCTTCAGAGGAACGATGTTACTTTGAAGACGAAGGTGCGCCTGACCCCAGCCGTGGTCTTTCCCATCGTCTCACATGCATGTCAGAGTTGGACATCGAATAAGGAAGACCATAGAAGGACGGATGCGTGTGAATTCCGGTGCGAGTGAAGAAGAGTACCATGCACTTCCAGAAGAGCCGACAGCTCTGTCTTGGAGGCAGGTCAGACAGAACGCTCCTTACAAGTGAAGAGGGTGAGATTTCATCTCACGTGCTTTGGACATGATATCAGGAGAGACCAGTTCCTGGAAAAGGACGTCCCACTTGGGGAAGGGTGGGGGGGCATTGGAAAGGGGAAAGAGCACCAGATGGATTGGCACAGGGGGTGCCACATGGACTTCAACACCACAGTGCTGGTGAGCGGAGCGGCAGGACCAGGCTGGTTGGGTTCAGCGCGGAACATGGGGTTGCTGTGAGTTGGTGGTACCGGCTTCATGGCGATGGGTTTGGGTTTAGTTTGTTTCTCCCCTTCTCGCTGACCCCACCCCGACCCCCACCCCCACCTCTGTTCTGTTTCTTGGGATCACTATTTGCTCTTGTGATTTTCGTCTCTGGCTCTGCTCCTAAGAAATCCAAATGGAGACACTGGCTTGGGCTGAAAATGATGTTTGTAATGCTCTTGGCATATAGTAAATGCTCTAGAAATTCATTGTTGAATGAATGAATTCCCAGCCCAAGAGCAGGGGAAAGTCCCAAGGGAGAGACCCCAGACCCCAGGAGAGCAGTGGGTGGAGGGAGAGACCCGCACCCCCTGACAGCGGGACAGGGGAGAAACAAACAAACCAGAAAGAAGTAGGAGTGAGGCTGAACTTGTGCTTTGAAATAGGAGTTAAATATATATATATATATATATATTTTTAAATATATTTTTTAAATGGCAAGATTGCACACACCAACACAAAGCCTGAAAGGTATGTGTGTGGGGGTGGGGGTGGAGGATGGGGATGGGGGTTCCTCCTCCAGGTCTCCCTGGATGTC